TCATAAATTTAGTTAATCCTATACATAATCCAATTATTTTTTAAAATTTTGTAGTCACTCTACAAATAGTACTAATTCTAGTTAATATGATAGGAAATACTTGAATATTTCAAGTAAACCCTAACAAGATTGATAAAAAGAACAAAATATACTCAACAATTGCAATGAAAGCAACCAAAACCGTGGATTTTATTGTAGGAATCAAATCAACGGAAGGAAAACAAAGCAAATATACAATTGATCCTCAATTCAAGAGGAGGATCATTTTCTCCCAAATCTCTTGATGAATTATAGAGCCCAAGCCACCAAGTAAGAAACTCCAAGAGAACACAATAATCAAGCATAGCACTAACCCTAGACGACAACTCCTATTTAATATAAACTTCCCTAATTTCAAATTCTGAATTCAAAATTTTCCCCTCCCCTAGCCGCCCCTTCTTCTTTCCCCATTAGATTGCCTAGTGGGCCCCTAGGCTTGGGCGGCAATTTCCTCCGCAAAGGGGGCCCATCTCCTGTAGCATAGAACCGGCCCTGCAAGGGCCGGTTGGGATTGAACCGGCCTAACATAATACTCTTATAAATATTCCAATAACTTAAACTTTTGTCACAAATCTTTTCTCCAAACCAGTTGTACTACTTATTATCTCCGCAAAGTCAATAAAGACCATATGAAGATAATTTCTTTGCTCTTCGTACTTTTTCATTAATTGTTTTAGCCCAAAAAAAAAAATTTCAAAGTATATTTATTTGGCATAAAATCAATTTGATTCGTGATATTGGCTGATACTCCAATACCCTCCCTTATAAATTCATCGTTTAACTTATAGGTTTTATTTTTCTTGTAGTTATAGCAATCTTAGTCATTTTATTATTTTCGTAATTATTAGCCTCTAAATGCTTTTGTAATCATTTGACATTCTATTAGTATATATTATTTTTTTTAAATGATTTAATTACAAAATCACTCCATCTCTCATAACTTTATTTATGGGCATTTTATTGATTTTACATCTTTAGGTCAATTTATAGTAACTTTATTATACTGCTCATTTTGCTCTTCTAAAAATTTATCTTACTTTTAGAGCATGTTTGATCAAAATTCTTTTGTTTGGTTGGACGATATATTAAATTATGATTGTTATGATGAATTGGTAGCTCTTAGGTTATTTCTTTAAATAATCTTGACTTGTTTGAGACCAAGTAATCGTTAAATCGCCAATTTAGTTTAGGGTTTAGAGTTAGGGTTATGTTTTGATTATTATTTTCTTGTGAGGGTTCTTCTTGGTGTTTTGGGCTCCAGATTCATTTAGAGATTGGGAGAGACGATCCTCCTCTCGAATTGATGATCAATTGTATCTTTGTTTCGTTGTTTCCGTTAGTTCTCTCTTTCGCAATCCAATTTCAATTTGGAGAGTTTTCCATTAGATTTTTGTGTGTTTCTCTTGCTTTTTTTTCCTATTTTTGTTAGGGTTTTCTTGAAATATTCAACTATTTCCTATCAGGATACACATTTATAATTAGATATATAGGCATGCCCACCATCCATTATCTTTGAATGCAAAACTTTTTTGTTCAACTATGCTATTTTTTGTTATGAGCTCCATGGTAGCATCTAATATGAAATTGTAAAAAGTATATATGAATATTAGGCATTTAAGCAAATTAGAAAATATTTCATGTGACACTGCAGTTAATCCTATCAGGTCTAATTAACCCTAGCCTGATAGGGTTTTGATTTATTTTGATCAAAATTGGATTTATGTGGGGTAGGTCTACTTTGGAAGCTATACATTTATTGAGAGGTTTGATGGAGAAGTATAAGGAGAATAAGGAGGATCTACGTATGATATTTATTGATTTAGAGAAATCTTAGGATAATGTTCCAAGAGAAGTGCTATGGAGAGTTTTAAAAAAGAAAGCGGTTAATAATGCTTATAATCAAGTCATTAATGATAAGTATGCAGGAGCTGTTACTTGTGTTCAAATACGAGGAGGTTGGACTAAGTATTTTCCTATTTCAATTGGATTACATCAAGGATTAGCTTTAAGCCAATAGCTTTTTGCTTTACTCATTGTAGTTCTTACTAGACATTTGCAGGAGGATGTACCCTGGTGTATGCTTTTTGTTGATGATATTATTCTTGTTGATAGGACTAGAGAGGGAGTTGAAGGTAAACTTGAATTATGAAGGTCAACCTTAGAGTTTAAAGGTTTTGGTTTGAGTAGATCTAAAACCAAATACATGGACTGTAATTTTAGTAATAATAGATTTAATGGGGGGATTGTGACTTTAGGAGATCAAGCTATTAATAAGAGTATACGTTTTAGATATCTTGGATCTATTGTCCAGAGTGATGGTGAAATAGATGGGGATATTATTAGTAAAATTCATGTTGGATGGTTGAAGTGGAGGAATGCATTGGGCCTATTATGTGATAAAAAATACCCCTCAAACTTAAGGGAAAATCTATAAAATGGTGGTAAGACTTGCAATGCTTTATGCGCAAAATGTTGGCCATTAGAAGATGAACAAACAATTAAGTTAAGTGTTGTAGAGATGAGGATGCGCATGTGGATGAGTGGTTTTACTCTTAGAGATAGAATGGTTGGAGTAGCTCTAATGGCAGATAAGATTAGAGAGTCTCCTTAGATGGTTTTGTCACATAAAATGTCAGCCTTCAGGTGACCCAGTTAGGAGAGTAGATGTATTAGATTAGACTTATGCTAAGAGAGATAGAGGTAGACCTAAAAGAGTTGGTTAATGAAATATTAAAACTGATAAATTTTTTTATTATATTTGAATGAGAATTTGACTCTTAACAAGACACAACGGAGAAAAAAAAGATTTATGTAGCTGACCGCACAGTGGGATAAAGGCTTGATGTTTTTGTTGGAGTTGGGCAACCTTGTGGCCTTAATGATCCATCTTAGGCTTTTTATGTGGTTTAGTGATTTACCATTGTTTGCTTGGCTTAATCTTAGATGGATTGTTGGCTTTATTATGGTTGATCTAATTATCATTAGGTGACCTCGATGCCCTTGTGTGATCTTAACTCTAGACTTGTCCTAGTTGAGCATTGGGGATTAGTAGTCTACCCTAGCCATTATATGACTAGTGGTTTGTCTTAGATAGTTTTAGGTCTTCCTATCCTAGGTCCTAGTCTTCCCTTTGTTGACCAAAAATACTAGTGACCATGATCCTAGTCTCTTCTGTTTGTCATTAAGTGGACTAGTGATTAAATCGTAGGTTGTTCCTTTGACCTTAAAGGCTTAAACAATCAAGTGGAACCTCTATATATCTGGCCTTAGTCTATCTTAGTTGACACTATATGGTTTAGTAGTTTTCCTTGGTTTGATTTAGTTAAGATTAGACTTAGTAGTGGTTTGGCCCTAAATAGTCTTAGTTGGCCTTATTGCCTAGTGACTTTGTTAGATTGGTAAATCCTCTAGGGTATTGTGATGTTACACTCCATCATAGGGTGGAGTATCGACATCATTGAACCCTAGCACCTTAGAATGATATGATTCACCCTAGCGAGAATTGTGTTTATTCTTATGATCTATTAAAATTAAAATCCTCCTAGACATAGTAGCTAGGAACCTACGGTGGGTCATTCCTATTCTCTTTGTTTTAAATCCTTGATCTTCTAGACGAAAGGATCCTGGAGTGGGGGAAAAGTTTCCCTCACAATATTTGCTCATAATCTATACGAAACTCTAGAAGGACTTGGAGATGGATTGCTCTCATCGCTTTGTTCTGTATGACATCAAACTATATTAAATATTGATTTTCTGACCTTAGGATGGCATGGGCCACTTAAGGGTGGACTAAGCTCGACCCTTAACGATATAATTCCTAATTCATAAAGTGTGTTAACAAAAATATTCAAATTATTAATGATTCAAACTGAAACCAACTTTGATTAATGAATTTGAACACTCTCACATCTATCTTATAACTTAGACATCAAACATTAATTAGATGATAACCCTTAACATCAGCTTAGCAAATATTAGATGTTGTAATAGACACATCCTTAGAAATCCTAGGATTGCATTGTAGTTAGGATATGAAAATTTTATTGCATATGCTTATTATGTAATAAGTATATATGTGAAAAGGTCGGAGTAGCTCCAATGGTAGATAAGGTTAGAGAGACTGTTGCCTTAGATGGTTTGGACACATAAAACGCCGGCCTTCTGAAGAATCGGTTATGAGAGCATATATATTAGATTTGGCCTATGTTAAGAAAGAAGAGGTAGACCTAAAAAGACTTGGTTAGAAAATATTAAAAATAATTTTTTTATTAGATTTAAATGAGAATTTGACTCTTAACAACATCCAATGGAGAAAAAAATTCATGTAGTCGATCCCTCGTAGTGGGATAAAGGCTTGATGTTGTTGTTGTTGATGTGCTTATTGTGTAGTGCCCTAGAGGACAATAGTTGCTTAGCACAATATTGTGCTAGACTTATAGATGTTCAGGGAAAATTTTTTGTGTGCGTAGCTGGTGTGATTCTGTACTTTTACCTTCTTTTTTTAGACTAGAAAAGCTATGCATACATGTGGATGATCTAGATGGTGGAGGCCCATATGTGAATAACATTATGTCCAATTATGAAGACCCTACATGCTATATTATTAATGTATAGAGCATAAATACATGCGGTATTGCATCTAATCATATTAGGCAACTTAAGAAAATATTTCATGTGATATTGCATTTGTCCATTTAGTTTATTATCCTCATATCTTCAGTGTTGTTTGTCACTGGAAACTAATTCATATTTGCTTACGAATATACATCACCTTTTATATGACAAACATTCTAGCATTTTAATATTACTACCATCTTGCCTTCAAGAATTTTATGCCAGATGGGATAACTCCAATTAATAAAGGGTCATTTGACTACACAGAAAAATATCTGTGAATTGGATTTGTATGCCAGTATGAGGTCCATTTACTACATATTTCTTACACTGCCTTCTTTTTTTAGATACCAAAAAAATGCCAGAAAAAACAAAGTTGAAAATTATCCCGCAAGGAAGCCTCGAGCATATTCAAATCAGCAAGTGGAGGTTTCCCTGTCAAATTCATTGAACTCTGAGGATTTCACAGATCCAACAGATACTCTTTCAAGGTCTATTCGAGGTGGAAACATTAATACTTGCAAGACAAGACTAGTAACTTTCATCCGAGCAGAGCGTCTTTATCCAGGTTGGTATTCCTTGCGTAGAGGCAACCATGATTTCTATCCCGATTTAATATTCAAGCCATTTCCTGCATCATCCATTTTTTTTTTCTTGCAGTAGTTCCTGGGAGGACTACAAGCCGATTGATCATGAGTGAGAAGCCCTTTGATGGCACAGTGGCTATGCAGTATGGTGACTCAGATGATTCTGATCTTCCTAGTCCTGTAGATTGCTGGCAAACATTGCCCACCACAGTGAGATCCTTATCAGTCAATCACTTGTCTCTGATATATTGTTATCAATATTTCTGATCTATACCTTGTATTGGTTTTTGTATCCAGCACTTTGCTGATCTTCTTGCGGCACAGTTTTGTGCATTGGTGAGTACCCCTGCAGTAAATTTCAGTAATTGTATATTCTATTCTGTTTGCAATTCTTACATCATACTTGGCTTTGTCTTGCAGATGGACCGTGATGGGCATCATAAAGCTGATGATCAATTATTTCAAGCTCGAACCTCTCCAGTTCGCATGGGTGTCGCATCTGGAGGTCAATCTATAGTTCCAGGATTGTCAACTGAGAATCTGCCATCTGAGGGAAAACATGCAGATTCGGTTCCTGCTTCATTGCCTGCTGCTGTAGCTCCTAATAATGGTGGGATGGGCCCCATGAACTCGCATAATCTTTCCAGCAATGCTGGAATGATGGCTTCCGGAAGCGGTGCCCAAAGCTTACCCATTTCACAGGGCTATTTGTCGGGGACAGGAATCCCTGCCAGAAACCAACAGCTTGAGCAGCAACAGCTTCAGCAGCAGCATCTTCAGCAGCTGCAAAACCCACAATCCCAGTTGCAGCAACAGCAGCAGCTTCCCCTCCCTCACATCCAGAGATCTTCTCAAGTTCTCTCAAACAATCCTCTCTCCCATTTAATTGGGCAGAGCTCAAACATTCAAATGGGTTCTAATTCTATCGGGAACAATAAGAGCGCTCACATCCAGCTCCAAATGCAACAACAACAACATCAACAGCAGCAGCAGCAACAACAACAGCATAATCAGATCCCGAGGAAAGTGATGATGGGACTTGGTGCTGCCATGGGCATGGGGAATATGGGAAATAATATGGTGGGAATTCCAGGTCTCGGTAATGTCATCGGTATGGGGGGTGTGCGTGGTCTGTCCTCCCCAATGGGCTCCTTGCCTGGCTTGGGCACTGTCAACCCCAACCAGATGCTTCCAACTTCAGCTTCCAATTTTGGTAATGGCATCCGCCCAGCTTCTATGTCACCTGCCCAAGCCGCTGCAGCAATTGCGACAAAGTTTAGAATGGCAGCGCAGCAGAACAGGGGCATGTATGGTCCCCAACCTGGGATTGCTAACTTGACAGGGTACAACAATCAGATGCTTCCCACCTCAGCTGGCTTGTCTATGCTAAGTCATGCGCTGAACCGAACTAACATGAACACTTTGCAGCCCAATGCCACGATGGCATCTATGGGACCACCCAAGATTTCAGGACCAAACTTCTATCTGAACACGCAGCAATTGCAGCTACAGCAACAGCGTTTTCAACAACAGCAGCAGCAGCAGCAGCAACAGCAGTTGCAACAACAGCAGATGCAACAGCACTCGCCACAAATGCAACAGCAGCAGATAAGCTCTCCCCTTCAGCAATCACAGGTTACTTCCCCATCAGTGGCTGGTTCTCCTTCACCTTTGGTTATGCAACAGCAACAGCAACAGCAACAGCAACAGCAACAGATAAGTCCCCAACAGATGGGTCAGCAGACTCCGATGAGTCCACAGCAGTATAACTCTGCTGCCCTGCAGATTAATAATGCTAGTTTAGGGGCTGCACCACCTGCTAGCCCGCAATTGAGCTCACAGACACACGGGTCCATTGGTAGCATCACTAGCTCTCCCATGGAGCAGCTACAAGGTGCAAATAAGGGAGGAAGCTCCAACATTTGAGCCTGAAATTTACATCCATTGTTATGAAGGGTCCCAAGAAGCTGAGTGCTACTTGTTTGGTTGACATCGGTAAACCATTGTAGCATTTAAAGGTTGATTCTGATTAGTATTAAGAAATTATGTTGACATTCAATCTGTACATTACGTGTCAAATAATGTAGAATCTTAAAAGCATAACTATGTCATAATATCTTTCTGCTATGTAAATTGTTAGGATTCTTTTATGTAAGTTAACATACTTGAATTATTTTTCATCTTAAAGGTGAGATGTGTGGCTTTTGATCGTAACTGCTGATACAGATACTTATTTTGTTTTCGTTTTTTTTGTGTCAAATCATATGCAATGCAACTAATTCTGAAGTGGATTTTTTTTATATTCTCAAATGAAATACTGTCAGACTGACTGTGAATGAATTTCCATCTTGCAGTCTTATAAACACAAAAATATCAAGACTAGGAAAAAGACGGGCTATATCTGATGAGCTAATCATCTCCGTGCTTAGCACGTTTTATATTCCTGGTAAGAAAGCTTGCTTATATTCTTTTGCTCACAATTATTTAGCCTGGCCTAACTTTAATAATGTAGTTTAGGCGTCCTTGGTTCTACACTATGATTACACCCTTTTAGGATATTTCTGGTTTTTCAGACAATGATAGTTAATGAATTCTGTCAACTTTTTCATGATCATGTGACGACAACGCCAGCTGTGTTTTAATGACGTTTTATTCATTAATGCTGTTTAGCTTTCAAGTATGGACAGGTAAATAAGGTTGGGAGAGAATATGTCTATTTGCCATTGTAGACTTGTGTTGAAATTTCGAGTAAATCAGATAATAATTCGATAATTTCATTACCTTTATTATATAATGTTTTAAGTCTTCAGTTGCTTAAAAAATAATTGTGCAACTAGTATAAGTTGATTGAATGAGAAAAATGAATATTTTAATGACTCATAAGTCATAACTAATGATAATATGATATGCTAATGCTAACTAGTTCATGATTAATTTAAATAATTAATTAGCTTTATTGCGTAACTAAAATCGAGCTGGTTGAGTGAGAATCAGTTTCAACTCTCTTAGTATTTTATGAACAAGTAGGGTAGGGCAATTTTTTAGAAAATCTGAAAAGGTAAAAGTCACGGTGCTTACTCAGTTGAATAGTTTTCACTGGTATAAAAAATTACAAGGTTTCACTACAAAATAAAAATAATTTGTTGTAGTTGTTGTAAGTTGTAGTGGTCGACATACCTAAGAGGTAACTTTGATGGAAGTATTGCCGGAGAACAATGCATAGGACTTGTGGGAGATTTACAATACAAACAAATTTTGAGTTTGTGGCCTTACAAATGATGGTTGCACTGCAAGCAAAGATTGTGGTGCATGTTTGAGGTAGATAATTGCAACACAAGTCTTAAGGGAGAGATGATTAAGACATGGGTCTTGAGAGTGATGTCCACAATTTGGTCTTGTTGGATATTGCTGTGATAAACGTTTTAAGGGAAGTGATTGCAGAACAAGTAAGGATTTCAGCAGAGTCTTTGATGCAACTATGATTGCAACATAAATGAAATTTTTCGATGCTGATCTTGGTGCGACATTTGTAGGATTTCTATGAGGATTTGGGCAACATTCTTAATTTAAAAATTCTCACTAATAAACTAACAAGTGACTATCTATAGTTTTTTGTGAATGCCATCTAGTGTATATTTGGAATATTCCTTGTAGTTATCATTGGCAAACTATGCATATTGTGCCTTACCATGATCAAATTGTGAATAGGCAATACTATTCTTGGGCTAACCCAATTGACTTGAATGATTTAGTGATAGTCACAACTTGTCATGTCTTTGATTGACAATCTGAACATATCGCATCATAGGTTGTAATTTCTTGTGTGCATCAATGATGACTGATGGAAGTCTCAACTGTCAGATTAGTAGAAATAATTATGAGAAGGTTTATGATCATTAAATTCAAATCATAAGAAAATTACGCTGATGTCCCTTCATTTCATATATTTGTTCCTCTTCTTAAGAGAAGCATTTTACACATAAATGATTCATGACTTAGTTTTCTTATTTTGGATTTCTCGAGATTCATGCTTTTTATGTTGATATTTATGGTTGTTCAAATAAAGATTTTTAGTCATGATAAGTTTATTAGATAAGATGGTTGGATTTTGTGAAAGTACTTTCTAAAAAGCTTCCCATACTATCAATCAATGGGTCAATTTGTGGCCCATGTAGCTAACTGTATAGTGGCCGTAGAATTGTTATGAGAATAATATATTTTTTTGGAAGTTGTGGGTATTAAAATTTTTCAGACAAATATTTTCTTACCGCTATTGCATTATAGCAGATTTGATTGTAAAAAGCTCATTCTCACCACATGAATGAAAGCAACAAAGGATCATAACCAAAGTAAACTTTGAAAAGGGTGCCTCAAACAGACCTTTAGAAGTTGCTTTTTTCAGTTTTTATAGCCTAAAATGGTTTTATAAAAACAATCAACAAAAAGCTATGCCAAAGGAAACCTTCCCTATTAACTGATACTTTGATAAGGTCTAAGCCTGGTGAAATGTACATTTTAAGGTTTGGTTTATATGTGAGCACTATCATATAGGTTTGAAATTTGCCATTGGTTACTATTACAACATTAAACGATCACATCAAACCTTGTTAAATCCTTCAAATAACTTTAAAGGTATTAAAGATGAAGGGTACCCTTTCCAGTTTGATTTGCAGGCTATATTATAGAAATCTGCATCAAAGTATTTGTGACGCCAAGACCAAACATTGTTGATTACTATTATTACAGAACAAAATACCCTTGCAACAGCTAACATTAAAACTCCACAGAACAACGCTTCATTCGTTTTGATAATCATAAATAAACAACTTTATGCCATCCAGAATGATAGCAACAGTAGCAGAGGAAAAAGCCCCATGAAGCCAAGAAACAAGCTTGGAGCCCTGGCTGCATCTGCCGTGTAGAAATAATAGTAGGGGTATGAGAGACCTCCTCGATCCTGTCCTCCAGCTGGTGAAGAAGATGACGACGATGAAGTTGGCGACGGAGGCGACTTCTTCGCCGGAGGCGGCAGAATAACACCACCTGAAGTTTTCGGTGGCGACGGCGGCGACGAGCAAACCGCAGGGCACGTCCAACACTTACTAACACACAACAAGCTCGCTTCAGGCGATTCTGCCGCCATCTCTGCGGCAGATATTGCTGTGCTAGTCACCAGGAGCACTGCAACAGTTGCCATTGCTGCAATTCTTAGCATTATGGCCTGCTGTTTGTCTCAGCAGTTCCTAACGCTGCAGACATAAAGACCGAACTCTTCTATCAGAATCAGATTCTGGTGAAATTTGATCGGAGGATGAGAAGAGCATATGTTCCAGAAATTGCAGGACAATCTAGAAAAAGAAGATTCTTGCTAATATATCAACTTTGAAAGTTCTAAAGGTGAGTTTTAGGGAGAGATGCATTGCTACTAAAGCTTAAAAGATGCTCTATTAGCTGTTAAATGATACTCAAAGTTAAACAGCAATACAGATTCCTGCACATATGACACATTATCTCATTATCCATTAGGATATTACTTTTATTTATTTGATACATGATTAAATTATCCTTAATTTTCATCAAATTTGGTATCGGTCTATTTCATGATGAACTGTAAGATGTATGCTCTTGATTTGCAATAAGATGCTGTATTATTAAAAAATAAACCAAAGCAAAATTGCCTGTAAAACTTGATATCTTGAGCAAACAGCAAAGTACCAGCTTAAAGGGCAGAAGAGTTCAAGCAGAGGTTTCAAGGCAAAGAAAGGAATGATGCATCTATAGGTTGGTATGGTAGAGCTGGATTTTGTGATATCCTTCAACCCATGATAATTTATTAAAAAATTGAATAGATTTTATTCCTTCATGAACAATTTAAGACATACATGTTGATAAGTCATAAAAAAATCACCTCGGTTACGAATGAATCTCAGGCATATTTAAATTTGAACCTCTAAAATTAAATTTGGGATCAGACTGCCATTTCGGCGAAATTACAGTCAAATCGAACATCTGAAGGAGACGAATCTAACGACAACAAAATTGGTCCAATCCTAGCCCAAATGGGTCCAAATCAAGAGTGCAGCATGTTTAAAAAGTCCAAAGCATTAATTGGATGACAAAATGATATCAAAATATAGCATGCTTATAGTCAAATTGAGCGGCTCGGCGAGATGAATCCAACGAGCCCTATATCGCTAAATTCTAACATCGTTAAGGCACTTAAACAATTGAAAAATGCTCGATGATTGGGGAATGAGGGAATCAGTATGGGCCATCCGAAGGAGCAGTACAAACATGCCCCAGATCTTTATATTTATAAGGTGTATCACTCACGAAAATCTATAAATAGTCCTCAACTCTCTATATAAAGGGGACTTTTGGCTAGAAATTGGAGAGAGCTTTGAGGCTTCAAGAGCTACAACAACAACACCAGCGAACTTCCATTGATTGTCGCCGGAATACCACCAGTTTGTTGACCACCGCCGGACTTTCGCCCGACCATCGTCGAACCATCACCCGGCCGCCGATCATAGCCAAATTTGCACCCTGCCACTTTTCGGGTCAGACATCCGCCGACCATCGTCGGACCACCGCCTGGTCGCCGACCACCATCAGACTTCCACATGACTGCCATCCGTCGTAGGATCACCGCATGACCATCGTAGAACCACCGCCCAGCCGCCGCTAAACTTTCACCCGGCCGCCAACGGTTGCCAAACTTTCGCCTGACCATCGTTGGACCACCGCCCGACCTCCGACCGCCGTTGGACTTTTACCTGGTCGTTTACCATCACTAGACTTCCGCTCGACCTTAGTCGGACCATCGCCCAGCTGCCAGTCACCACCAAACTTCTGCCCGACCATCGTCGGATCATTACCCGTGCTAACTACGATCCCTTAGACCACTGTCGCTCGCCGACTACTATCCTTCTAACCGCCGTCACCCATCGACTACAGTATCTCAAATCTCCATCACCCGCCGACTATAGTTTCTCGGTCCTCCATCACCTGCCAACTACAGTCTCTTAGACGTCCATTGCTCATCGACTTCGATTCTTTCGACCACTATCGCCCACCTGCTACCCTCCCTTCGACTACCATCACCTACCAACTACGGTCGCTCCAACCATCGTCGCCCGCCGACTACAATCCCTTCAACCACCGTTGCCCGTCGACTCCGGTCCCTCCAACCACTTTCGCCTGCCGACTATAATCCATTTGATCTTCATTACCTCAATACAACTCTGTCAACCAAATGAATATGCCAATGTTCTCTTGAGAATGGATGCCTTATCATTGGATTCTTCCAACCTCAACTATATAATGAGTTCTATATGATAAATTGAACGAATGCCTTCCCGCCGTGGAATGACACTAATTTGTAATCAACTATAATTATTAGTGGAATCAATTTAACTGGGACAGGTCCCATGATTTTTTTTTTCCTTTTTTTAAGATTTTCCACATAAAAATTTTGGTGTCTCTTATGACTCTTCTACCCCTCTCTCTTTATGTGTATGTGTGTTGGATCTTCGTTTAAAGCTAAGACATAAAGCTCTTTATCTCTCTAACATTACAAATGTTCTAGTCCTCAACACATGTAAATCAATTGAACATGATTAGGGCTTTGAAATTATTCAAATTTGTTTATTGATTTGTACTATCGAAGTATCGAGTTCTATATAAGCATAATTGAACTTTAATTTGAGCTTATTAATTATATTTGGTCTTAATGATTAAAATATTAATGTTATTATCAGATATAAATAAATTTATAAATTTTAATCACAATTGTCATAATTCATTAGATGTTTTTAAATTTATTCGATGATGTTCAAATATGTAATAAAAAATTAGTACAATAATAGAGAACAAGCTATCAAATTAGTTATTAAATAACTATTTCATTAAATTCTTAATTTGAGATGTTTTTTTACTTCAGTTTTTTAATTTTTATATTAAAAAATTATTTTAAGAAATAATAAAAAATTGTCCCAAATAAAATATATTTAACTGAATATGTTGTAGTTTAATCAAAGAGAAATTTCGACAGTACGCTATTTTATCTATAAGAAGTCCAATTAATCTACGCTGATTGTTTCATCTTATTTTTGTTTTTAATAAATCCTTAGTGGAAAATTGATCTACATAGCCAAATGCTCTAATATTTTAAAATCCTCGCTTCATACTGTATAATCATTGATATGTCATCAAAAAATTATCTTGATCGGGCATGAATCTCGATGCAAGATCAAGTTGGAAATTTTCGAAATTAAATTTTGGACCATCCGAACTCTGATTTAAGCAAACTTATAGTCAAACTGAGCGTCTCGAGAATACAAACCCAACGACACCAAATCCAACCCAATCCGAGCCCAAATGGGTCCAAATCAAGGGTTAGAAGCTCTGTTGGAAGGTTCGAACCACAAATTGGATTACCAAACGGTTTCCAAACATAACGTGCTTATAGTCGAATCGAGCGACTCGACGAGACGAATCCAACGAACTCAAGATCACCGAATTCCGACATCTTTAAGACCTTCAAATGTCTGACAAATTGTCCACAATCAAGGGATTCAATATCGTCCGTCCATCTAACCACTCTCCATTTACCCTTATCTCTCACCTATTTACGGGCCATGCCACTCCAGAAATCTATATATAGACCCCTCATTTCTCTTGAAGGGGGATCTAAGCAAGAAGAGAAGAAGAAAATAAGAGAAGAGAAGGAAGAAACTCCTCCTCGACCACCGCCGAAGTTTCGCCGGATCACCGCCAGAGTTTTGCCGAACAACGGCCGGAGTTTCGCCGGACCACCACGTGAGGCCCTCGCCTTCGCCGGACCACCACGTGAGGCCCTCGCCTTCGCCGGACCACCACATGAGGCCCTCGCCTTCGCCGGACCACCACCTGAGGCCATATCCTTTGCCGGAAAAACCACTTGAGGTCCTCACCTTCGTCGGACCACCACCAGAGTCCCTCAACTTCACCGGACCACCACTTGAGGTCATCGCCTTCGCCGGACAACGACCAGACACCCTGTGCTCCGCCGGACAAGCACCTGACGCCCTGTGCTTTGCCAGGCCACCATTTGATGCCTAGAGTTTTGTCAGACCATCACCTGAGGCCCGAAGTTATGCTGGACCATCACCCGACACTCGAATTTCTGTCGTACAGTTGATACTTGTAATCTGATCGCCCTTGGAGGCAAGTTAGCCCATCGTAACCAACTCAAGTTCTAGTGGAATCATTTTCAATTGGGCCAAACCCCGTGGGTTTTCCTTTTTTCCAGGGCTTTCCACGTAAAAATCCTCTGTTTTCTGTGTGTGAGTTATATATCCGTGCAACGCTAAGACGTAGTATTATAACTCTATCGCCGTATATATTCTAGCCCGCAACAATCATATATCTCTTACCAAATTCAATAGATGTTTTTAAAGTTATTCGAGTTCGATCATAATTGTTAATTATTAAATTAATATGATAGTTTGTTTTGTTCAATATTATTTAGATAATGACGTTTCGCAAATGATAATATTTTCTGTTAATCAAACATTATCCATTTGGTGAAATTTTATCTTATTTTATTAGTTTTATGTAATTTAGAATAATCAAATGTTAATTATGATTTTTGTTTCTGATTATTGATAATAGTTGTAATATAGATATATTTTAGACGTTGATAAAGATAAAATTTAAATCTTATTTAAAATATCATCAGCTAAAATTATTGAAATTTATTAATAACATGATGTTACTTTGAATGTTACAGATATAATTGATTTTTAAATGATAATTATGATATGAAATGTGATAAGTAGGCCAATTGATAAATTAATATTTATTTGGGTGCTAATAAGTCCAGTTGATAAAATTATAAAATGGCAGTTATGTATGAAATCTGATTGTGTGATTAATCAAATTGTATTGTTGAGTCAGACCTCAAGTGCGTTGGTCGTACTCGTCGAGGGGTTGCGGGGAAACCTTCTTGCCCCCAAAAATTGTTTTCCAGTACAGACGTACAATGCTACGACACTGTATACTTCAGCATTGTGGTGTGATAGTCTCAGTTTTGAAACAAAGAACAAGCACTGTGGCACTGTAGGGCGGCTCAAAGATAAAGAGTGGAGAACTAAGGTGTTGCGAGTCGGATTGGATAGTTTTCTTTCTCGTTTTTCTCATGCTTAACTTGAAGGATTGCGCTCCTCAGTGATATAGAAGTGCTTATGTTTATCTATTCTGTGCAGAGAAAAAAAGTTTGAAGAGAAGAGAGACGAGAAGAGACTGAGAGAGAAGAGACTGTATAATGTGTTCTTGATTTTTTCTAAGTTTTGACCTTTTCCATGTTATATCTCGGTGTTCATTTCCGCTATTTTTTTTTTTAATTTCATTATGTGGTTTTATTTTCTAAAAAAAAACCTGAAATTTTATTATCAATGTCGTGTATTTCATCCTTGCTTACATAATAAAAATTAATCACTTAATATTCCTCAGTGGTCAAAATTTACTGCGTTTGTTCTCACTCAAAATGGAAT